TAAAAATGGTTAAATTTTAAAAATGTATCTTGAGATCTATGAGTTTTAAGAACTAAGAAAACATCTGAGGCAACTTGCAATATTTCTTTATTGTGCAGTAATTATTTGCACTAAATTAATGCACAATCTACTTGTCAGTCCTGTGTATTGTGTTTTTCTCCCCCACGTGTTCCATGACCCAGTTTTCCCTCATGTGCAATTATGTTTATTGCTCCCAGGTGTTTCTCGTCATCCCCTCGTCATGTCATGTGTATTTAAAGTGTTTCCTGTTCTTAGTTCTTGGTCCTGTATTGAATGTTCGTCGATCTCAAGAGTCAAGAGTCAAGAGTCAAGAGGCATTTATTTATCATTTGCATAGTTAACACTGGGGAAAACTGGGCATTGAAATGCTTAATGCTTGGCTCAGACATACAGTGACAATAACAGGACCATACAAAAAAAATGTCATGTGTATTTAAAGTGTTTCCTGTTCTGAGTTTCCTGTCCGGTATTGAATGTCATCTTTCCCCGCTACTTGTGTGTTCCTGGTTCCCTTGATGTCATTAAAGTCTCTTTGTTTGAAGTATGCTCCACGTTCCTCGTTCCTCTCTCCGCGCTCCCTCACACAGGAGCAAACGTGACAGAATACCAGACCAAAACAGAAAGTAAGCGGCGCCCCTTCTCCCCATTTTGTTTTTTAAATAGTCTTTTGTTTTCCTGTTTGTTTCTCCGCGCGCCATGTAAACCGCCTCACGCTTCATTGCCCTAGCCCGTAGGGATCTCCCCTTCGTCGAGTATGCCTGGGAGTTCTGCGGGCTCGCCGTGGCGACGGCATTGGATGACGCAACACTCAACTCGCTGTGCGGTCGAAAGAAGAGCAGTTGCCGTACCATACGGTGATGCAGCCGGTCAGAATGCTCTCTATAGTGCAACGGTAGAAATTTGACATGATGTTAGAGGAGATGCCAAACCTCTTCAGCCTCCGCAGGAAGTAGAGACGCTGACGGGCTGTTCTCAGTATGGTCTCTGAGTGTAGGCTCCAGGAAAAATCCTCAGAGATGTGAATGCCAAGGAACTTGTAGCTCTTAACTGTCTCTACTTTCTCTCCATTGATGTGAATGGGAACGTGACCCTCTCTCTGTGACTTCCTGTAGTCCACGATCATCTCCTTGGTCTTGCTGACGTTTAGAGAGAGATTGTTATCAGCACACCATGCTGTGAGTGCGTTAACCTCATCTCTGTAGGATGTCTCATCGCCATTAGTGATGAGTCCTAGGATAGTAGTATCGTCAGCAAATTTGAGGATGATGTTGGAGCTATGCTTAGCAGAGCAGTCGTAAGTGAACAGGGAGTACAAGAGAGGACTGAGTACACATCCCTGTGGGGCACCAGTGCTGAGTGTGAGTGAGGAGGATGTGTGGTTGCCAATTCTAACCACCTGGGGTCTGCCAGTCAGGAAGATCTCCCGCTACGTGTGTGTTCCAATATTCTTTTGATGACATTAAAGTCTCTTTGTTCAAAGTATTCTCCACGTCTCCTCGTTCCTCGCTCTGCATTCCCTTACAGTAGCGGTAATGTGACAGAATACAGGACCATAAACAGTAAGCGGCGCCCCTACTCTCCGTGTTTTTGTTTTGCGTTTTTGAAAGTGTTTTTGTTTTCCGTTTTTCCCCCACAACTACTATGGAGATCGCTGCTCGGTTCGCCGCCCTAGCCCGTAGGGATCTCCCCTTCGTTGAGTACGCCTGGGAATTCTGCCCGGCGACGGCGTTGGATGATGCCACCATCAACTCGCAGTTCAGGATCGGGGCGAATTGCTACCGCCCCGTTGACCTCCCAGACACCACAGGACTAAGCTGGAGGGAAGGGATCCTCCGGTGTCTGGAGAGTGTCCGGCCCCGAGCCAGAACCAGCCCGTTGTCAAGCCCGCCGGCCGCGGCACTCTCAAACTCGCCGGCTGCTCCGATGTCAAGCCCGCCGGTCGGTTCACTCTCAAGCCCTCAGCTAACAGCTGCACAATCCTTAACCCCAAATCAAGGGAGGAATTTAAGGAGGAAGCGACTGTTGGCTCGAGCCCATTAGTCCGCTCCAGTGTCGGCTCCAGCCCCAGAGTCCACTCCAGTGTCAGCTCCAGCCCCTGAGCCAGCTCCAGTGTCGGCTCCAGCCCCTGAGCCAGCACCAGTGTCGGCTCCAGCCCCTGAGCCAGCTCCAGTGTCGGCTCCAGTACCCCGAGTTTCGCACACCCCAGAGCTCGCTCCAGTGTCGGCTCCAGCCCCAGAGCTCGCTTCAGTGTCGGCTCCTGTACCCGAGTTTAACCCACGGAGGGCTCCTGTTCCCTAGTTCAGCCCAGAGAGGGCTCCAGATCCCGAATCCAGCCCAGTGTGGGCTCCAGTCCCCGAGTTAAGCCCAGAGAGTGCTCCAGTCCCCGAGTTTAGCCCAGAGAGGGCTCCAGTCACCGAGTTTAGCCCAGAGAGGGTTCCAGTCCCCGAATTTAGCCCAGAGAGGGTAGCCGCAGAGGCTGGGCCGAGTGCCGAGGCCAAGGTCACGGAGGCCGATCCACCATGGCTCCCCGAGCTGTCTGATCCGCCATGGCCTCCTGAACTGTCTGCTCCGCCATGGCCTCCTGAGTTCCCTGCTCGCTATGGCCCCCTGAGCTCTCTACTCCACCATGGCGTCCTGAACTCCCTACTCCGCCATGGCCTCCTGAACTGTCTGCTCTGCCATGGCCCCCTGAGTTCCCTGCTCCGCCATAGCTTCCTAGTCTGCCTGCTCCACCACTACTAGACTTCTAAAAAGAGCAAGTTGACATGGAATGAAAATTTACCTCATTTGTTTATTATAAATGCATGTTTTTGAGTTTAAATTTGAGTTTAAAAATGTTTTTCAATTTAAATGTTTAAAATGTATCTTGAGACCCATTAGTTCTAAGATAACACCTGGCAACTTGCACATTTTTATTTTTATTTATTTTTATTGAATTATAATTATTTGTACTATAAATTAACATGCAATAAGACTTTTGTAAAAAGTACTTTTAAAATCTGTTTTGTAAATGCATGCTATAGATCGTTTTGTGAACAATTTGTCCGTAGAGGCTTTTTAAAAAAAAAAAAAGTATTTATGTATGTATTTATTTACTTACACTCGTAATATTTAACCCTTTGATGCACAACATGGGTCTAAAGTGACCCGACTGAGTTTATTTTTTCTATATCTTTGCAAGAAATTAATTTCATCATTCAGAATTCCAGGAATTCCTCAATTAACTTGTTTTTTATCATCACAAATCCTTATTTTTATTTTTTCTTTCTTACTTTTAGAATAAAAATCGTTTTTGTGTCACTAGCACACTAGCTAATGCACAACATGGGTCTAAAATGACCCATATTCATTCCCTATGTTATTTCAGTTATGGATGAGTGTTTCTTTGCTGAATCTCTGAAAGAAATGTTTTTCTATCATTTATTATTCCAGACAGTCTTTAAATATGTTGTTTTTGACTTCCACAAATCATTTAGTTTATTTTTCCTTCCTTACTTTATAAACAAACACGGTTTTTGTATTTCTACATCAATTTTACACACATGGGTCAAAAATGACCCGTAAATTTTTTTTATTTATTTCAATCATTCCTGAGTGATGCTTTGCTGAATCTTTGAAAGAAATGCATTTTATTATTTATTATTCCAGGTATTCATTAAATATGTTGTTTTTGATTTCCACAAATAATTATGTTCATTTGTCCTTTCTTTACTTTATAAAAAAACACCATTTTTGTATTTCTACATCAACTTTACACACATGGGTCAAAAATGACCCATATAGAAACCTTTGATATTTGCTAATTTTTTGTAAGTAGGAACATATTTATTGCAGAAAACTTTTCACCTGCCCCACATTTCACAACTAGTCTTATTTTATAATGTATTACCATAGAAAATATTTGATATACTGTGGAAGATAACTGGACATAATATTTGAATGTTAGGCTAAGGTTACCGAGTATGAGTACAGGAGCTCAGTATCGGGCCCGATACGGTGCATCCCTAATTTGAATGTTAGGCTAAGGTTACCTTGACTTTGAAATCTATTACTAGTGAGACAGCGAAACATGTCCAATACTATAAGTTAGCTTGTTGTTGACATGTTCTATTTTCTATTTTAGCTAGCTAATGTTAGCTAGGTCAACAAAATTAAAGTCAAAATAATAACTTATTATATACAAGTATATATCATTGCTGTCAGGCAGAAACCTCGTGTCTCCACATTTCATAATTTTTATTTTTTGTCTTAAATCTATTGGTCACCCTTTATGTCTGTCAGTGTTCCTGAAAAGTAATGGTTTTGGACATGCAAGGTTTCTGTCTGACAGCGACAATATGTAATCAGTATATACATGATCAACTGCTTGCTGTGCACTCTTTATCTAGAGCAGGGGCTCTCAAACCTGTACTGGAGGACCCCTAGCCCTGCACATTTTGTATGTCTCCCTTATCAGACACACCCAATTCATGTCTTGCAGTCTCTACTAACGAGCTGATGAGTTGAATCAGGTGTGTTAGATAAGGGAGACATACAAAATGTGCAGGGCTAGGGGTCCTCCAGGACAAGTTTGAGAACCACTGATCTAGAGTGTTAGTATGGCTGATCCCAGACATTCTAGATTAACAGCTGAAATGTTTGTAGAGATGCTGCATGATGAGGAAGATCAGGCAATTCTTAGTCCTGATTCAGAGTCTGAAATATCTGATGCTGATGACCTAGACCAGTGGTTCCCAACCCTGGTCCTGGAAGCACCCCAACACTGCACGTTTTGCATGTCTCCTTCATCAAACACACCTGATTCAGGTCATCAGCTCATTAGTAGAGACTCCAAGACCTGAAATTGGTGTGTCAGAGAAAGGAGACATGCAAAATGTGCAGTGTTGGGGTGCCTCCAGGACCAGGGTTGGGAACCACTGACCTAGACTATGTGCCACAGGGTCAATCTGGAGTTGTGGGAGTAAATCCAACTCTCCTAGATGAAGAAGACACTCTGTGATGACATTGAAGACATGTCTGATGAGTCCTCTGAAGAGGAAACTCAGACCCAGTCCAATAGATTGAGTAAAAATGGTTTTCACCTACTCATGTAAGCGGAGAACATGGAGGTGGCCCATGGTGCTGTGGTGAAATGTGCTGGATGTTGCCACCCTTGTTGCCTACACCAGGGGCGGTCCTGGAGAGCCACAGTCCTGCAGAGTTCAGCTACAGCCCTAATCAAACACACCTGAACAAGCTAATCAAGGTCTAAGGGTTACTAGAAAGCTAGAGGCAGGGGAGATTTTATCAAGGTTGGAGTAAAACTCTGCAGGACTGTGGCTCTCCCGGACCTACGTTGGCCACCCCTGGCCTACACCAACTTCACCGAGCAACACCCTCATTACATGGGTGGTGTAACCCAGTGTTTCCCAACCCTGTCCCTGGAGGCACACCAACACTACACATTCGGTGAGTTCCAAACGGGATATATTGCCCTCCGAAGGGCACTTCGGAGTGAAAACAATCATGGCCGCCATATTGAAGGGTTGTTCCAAACCTAAGTGCTCAAAACTGGCCGCTTCAAAGGGCCCTTCGGAATGAAGGATTTCGAAGGGTATAACTGATGGACACTTCGGGCTCCCATGATCCTTTGCGCAGATTCTTTGCATGATGACGGCGCCTCCGTGTTGGCACGTGATGATGACGCAGAAGGGCACTTCAAGAAAAAGTTGTTTGGTCCCCTACACCCTTCAACCCTTTGAAGCTCTCACTCCGGAGGGTAAACCCTTTGAAGGGATTAGGGCATAGGGATGAGCCCTTCCGAATGGAATGCAGGGATTTTCCAACCTTTCCTAATCAAACCCAGCTGAATCAACTCATCATCTTGTTAGGAGAGACTCCAGGACCAGAAATATATTGGTCAGATAAGGGAGACATCCAAAATGTGCACTGTTGGTGTGTCTCCAGGAACAGGGTTGGGAAACACTGGTGTAACCAATGCATAACAGCTATTCATCAAGGAGCTGGTCAAAGAGCTTGTCGTGCCACATATGAAGAGGTGCTTGCAGGGCACACCCCTCCTTCAAAACCCTATTACAGAGACAATGGGAAGATGTGGGATAAAAAACAAAACACAGCCACCACCCGGCCACAGGTATGTATCAGACAGAAGGGTCAATCGAAGAGGAAGAGGTGCAGGATCTGCCCAGCTGCCAAAGACAGACAAGTCAGCTGGCGTTTCCAGTGCAACAGGCCTGTGTGCAAGGAGTACAAACGTGTGGTTTCATTTGTGAGGCATGTAAGCACTGAGATGGCGCTATACCTATGTGATTTTATTTTGTTAGTTTAATTTTCATCTATTCGGTCACATTCACTACAGTTGCACTACAGACAGTTCAATTTCAGTGTTATCGGTTATCAGTGATATGTGTATGTTATGTGTGACAAAGTGGCAAATAAACATATTTCAAGTGTTAAATGTGTTGGCCTAAATAACTGCTAAAATAATTATTTTAACAAAATGTATTTATTCTTTGTTTTATCGTGCTTGCATAGATGGGTCATTTTTGACTCAAACTTGATGTAGTAACAAAAAACCTAGGGAAAAAATAAAATATTCATTTGTGGTCATTGTAAAAAGATATTTTGAATATTCATGGCTCATGGAATTTATAGATCAGGAAATATTAATAAAGAAATAAACTGATTTCAAAAGATAAAACAAGCAAAAATGCCCAGCGAAGTATGAAATAATATAGGAAATGAATACGGGTCATTTTAGACCCATATTGTGCATTAGAAGGGGTTTTCATAGCTTGTGCATCAAAGGGTTAATGCAAATGTCATAATCTATCTTCCGGTGAAACAGACTTCTCTCTGATGACATTCGCTGGACTTCTCCAATCGTTTAACCCACTTTAAACCCCACCCCTTTCCTAAAATCAACTGCAAGCTCCAATTAATTTCTGAGTGCAGCTACTACATTTCAAAATACAATCCAAGACCCTTCCTTTGGTGGGGTTCAAATGCTAATTTTTAGCTGCTCAGACCCCTCCATCCTCCCCTATAATGCACCCTGCTTGTGTTGAGCATTGTTTCTTTAAGCTCGGCTGAAAGCAGCAAGTCTCGTGAAAGCGGCATATAGCGCTCGGCAGGAAAAAAAAGAAAACTCATTGAATAATATATGACAGCTCGGGCTTTAAATTCAACATTAAAAGTGATGACGTTCGTACAAACTCCACTTTATTTTAATCTCCAGATCCCCGAATCAAAACCTCAGGCTTAAAAGCAAATGTTAAACAGCCTCTCCTCTCACTGAGATCATTTGCAAAGAAAAAGAAAAAAGAGGGAAAAAACACAAGTAGGAGCTGAATACATCTGAATATAACCATTTTTCCGCCTGCAAGCTAAGCCGGAACTAGAGTCCCTATGAAATCCTGCTAAACCAATTAATGGTTCCTGTTAACCCACTCATCTTTGGAGAAGGATTGTCTTTCTCAATAATACAGCAACACCTCCCTTTCTCTGGCGGAAAGAAAAAAAAGTGGCGTGGCCCACAGTCGCTAGCCACTGACAAAGAAAATCCAGATTGGCATCAGGATGAGAGAGTGTCTTTCCCGTTACAGACATCCTCATTCCTGCGTAACACCTCTGATGCTGGGCTTTTGTCTCGCATCTACCGAGCCTCCATATCTTCTCGCGCCCTCTCCGTACGTAAAACCACTGTCAAGCTGGAACAAGTGCATAGTACGAAATGGAAAATACATTCAGCCTGTCTAAAAACAGCTCTGACGTGAAACAAAAACCATGGCGTATTTTAAAATCGACTAGTCTGTCTAAAGAATGTATAATTGCGCTGGTTTACAGTCAAGTGCACCAGATACCAATCGGATGCTTTTCTTATGAGGGCATTTATATGTGACAGCTAGACGGGTTGCAAATGGAGGGAGCAAAATGTAATTGTTGAATTGTTTTCAATATGACATGGCAACCTAAAACATTCAAAGCACAAAATACTGGAAAAACACAGAGACGTGACTCTATTGTGTCAGCAGCAACAACAAAAATTGTGTGTTGTGTTAACAGCATCACGGTCAAGGGTTTGATTCTCAGGGAAAAGACGCAACTGATCAAATGTATGAGCTGAATGCTTTGTAAGTCGCTTTGGTGAATGTGTCTAATAAATGCATAAGTGAATCTCATGCAAAAGTGTCACATTTTATAAAAAAATATATATATATGAAAACAATGTAGGTCCATGAATGCCCAGGTCATTTCAGCTCAAAAACCAGGAGGAGAGAAAGATAGATAGATAGATAGATAGATAGATAGATAGATAGATAGATAATTAAAAATGTTCATTAAAGATAATTAAAAAATATTACAAAATAAAATACAGTAACAGATATGACTGTGATAGATAAATTATATTAAAAATAAAAAATAATAAATACTTATTATTATTATTTTTTTTTTTGGTTTTGGGGTGAAATGTGACCTGGACATTTCTTGGTAGGTTTTGTAATTTATAAAAGTAATATAAATAAATTCTGAGCATGCATTGTGCTGACTAAATAAACAAATGTTGACTTTTATTTGGCACTCAATTATTTTTAGTAGTAATCATTAATAGTACAATCCATAATAATACTAAAGCAAAGTAATTTGACAAAAATCAAGCCCCTCCCACCTTCAAAAAAAAAGAAGGGGGGGGGTTGTTGGGGTGTACACTGGAGGTGTTGCCTAGCTGTTAGCCCACATGCTGGGACACAGACTTGAGATCCGTTTTGCATCATTTCCAAATCCATCATTTGGCGTCTCCCCTCATTTCCTGTCTATTCTTTCTGTCCTCACCGGTTAAATTAGCAAAAAGTCTAAACATGAAAAAGAGCACTTTTTCAAAATAAAAACTGCGCTAAAAAAAAAAAGCTGCTGTCGTGCTCATATACTGATCTGGTGCCAGTTTTCTCCATCCAAACCCTACTGTCACAGATACAACTAATCTGATCCCAGACCAACATTAAAGGGCGGCAGCATTAGGCACAGCTCAGCAAGATAAATGACATTTTCTAAAATCATGCTGACATTTTCAATTATCATGCACAAGGCACTGGCACGGCAAGAGCAGGTTTGTCAGGCTGACGCAGACGTTCACCTTATCGCACGAGGAAGAGTCCGTCGAATGAACAGAACGGGGCTTAGGGACCGAATCTGGACCTGACTGGTGTCTGGATAGAGGTGGAATTGGATGTAGAGGATAAAGAAGCGGGTTTGGGCGGAACTCGGATTGGTAGACGCTCCAACTTCAACCTGGCGACTACTTGAGAAGTCTTGGCTCGAATGAAGACCTTCTATGAAAGGCTACGGTGAAAGGTCAAAGTCTGTGGTGGGTTTTTTGGTTGTGTGTGTCGAAAAAACGACAAGGTTTGGATTGATTTCCTCACAGAAAATCCAAGAACATTCTTAACCTCCTGAGACCCTGTGACCTCATATGAGGACATTATATTTTTTACGCTCTAAACAATGTGAAGACATGAAAAAAACTATTATTTTCCTAAAAATCTTTTCTCGGGTCTTAAGAGGTTAAAAATAAAGGGGATGCCACTGAAGAACCATTTTTGGTTCCTCAAATAATTGCTTTTTTTTTTTAGTGTGAAGGACATTTGAATCATCTTAAGAACCTTTTCCAGTATATAGAACCTTTTGTGGAATGGAAAGATTCCATGGATGTTCTTCATGGGACCATCGATTATTTTTAAAGAGTGACGAGACAGTGAGGCGGTTAGAAAGACACTCCAGCAGCAATCGTCAGAAGTTGACACGGAAATTAAAAATTCATAGGCCATAATGACGGAGTTCATTAAAATGACATTTTAAATAGAAATGTGATGTGCATAAATAAGGAAATAATAAAAGACAGTTCAAAAAGGCATTGGGAAAGATGACCGTTAATCTCCCATCAAGGAAAATGGAAAGTTTGTAGGAGAACGAGCGAAATCCAAGAGTTGATATTGGAGGTGTCGGTTAAAGCGAGCAGCTCAAATTATGCAAAACAGGGCGACAAGAACAAGCAGGTGTCTCTGCAT